TATATATATATATATATATATATATATATATATAATATATAATATATATGTATATATATATATATATATATATATATACATATACAAGCATATGTATATACGTATATTTTGCATAATTAACTTTTTAATCGTAAATTAAATTTATGTGAAATAATGAAAAAATAGTTTTTTATAAAAACACGTTACTAAATATTTTATGCTCAGAATACCATACAAGGAAATAACACTGGCGCTCAGAAAGATAAAAACATGCTGCTAATATTATTTTATGTTTTTCTTATTATTCTATATTGTTAGCAGCCTGCAATATGGTTTTAATATCAATAAAAAATTACTTATATAAAATATAACTTATAAATATAGTTTATATAAAAAGAGTTAATAAGTTAAAATTAATGTGTTTTAAAATAACTAATTTAAGTTAAAAGTTAACTCATTCACAGTTAACTAAGCTAAAGGCTAACTTTTAATTTTCCAATTTTTATTTATTATTTGGTTACTACACACATACATACACACATACTCGTACATACAAACACACACTCAACCTTAATTTTTGATAAAATTTATTAAAATGAAATAAATTTCTTGATATTATCGTTGCTATCATATCGTTACGATTTCCGTTCTGCGTTCACTTAAATGTTTGCACGTGCTAAAATATATTTGTCATCCCGTACAACATCATAATAGCCGCATGTGTGCGGACGTGTTCGGAACATTAATGTGTGATACGTAATACGATTTCCGACGGTAATAAAGGTTGCGAAACAATAACGTAAATGCGCATACGCTGGCTGTAGCAAGATATGTAAATTCTGCCGTTAGTGAATCGTGACAAATCGTGAGAGGAAAAATCGTCATCACGACAATGTACGTATATACATGATGATGCAAGTAGATAACGACTTTTAAGTCGACGTCAATTAAGTCGACCGTGACATAGCGGGAATAGAATCACTGAAACGTGATAAATACAATTCGCTTAGGTGTTCGTAAAAAAATACGCGAAAATAAAACGTGCCAGAGATGCAACTTCATGTCATTGCGAAACACATTGCAAATGCAATAATGCAGCACTTGCGGTTACCGTAACTCGCTGTTGTGTTTACAAATTGTCGTAATC